ACAGTTAGTCCTGCCTCCCTTATGTGCTCAAGGACTTTTTGTAGATGTTCCAGGTGGTCTGCCCAGGAATCCGAAAATATGGCCACATCGTCAAGGTAGGCGACTGCATATTCTCCTAATCCCGCTAGGAGACCATCTACAAGTCTTTGGAAAGTGGCGGGTGCATTTCGCAGCCCGAAAGGGAGTACATTAAATTCATACAGCCCGAGATGTGTGATGAAGGCTGACCTTTCCTTGGCAGATTCATCTAGCGGTACCTGCCAGTACCCCTTGGTTAAGTCCAAGGTAGAGATGAACTGGGCCCGTCCCAGTTTCTCTAATAGTTCATCTGTGCGTGGCATTGGATAGTTGTCTGGGCGAGTTACAGCATTTAGCTTACGGTAGTCCACGCAAAAACGTATTTCCCCATCTGGTTTGGGAACTAGAACCACTGGAGATGCCCATGCACTTTCAGAGGGGCGGATTACACCCATCTGTAACATATCTTGGATCTCCCGTTCTATAGCAGTTTTAGCTTGAGGAGACACCCGGTAAGGTTGGACCCTAATTGGGTGAGCATTACCTGTGTCAATGGAGTGGTATGCCCGTTCAGTCAGTCCTGGGGTGGCTGAGAACGTTGGCGTGTAGCTAGTGCACAGCTCCTGGATCTGCTGTCGCTGCATACGCCCAAGGGTCATGGAGAGGTTCACCTCTTCCACACCACCACCACATTTCCCTTCGTAGTAGACACCTTCGGGCCACTCAGCGTCGTCTCCTCCGTGGGCTGTAAACTGACAAACCTTTAATTCTCTGGAATAAAAGGGCTTTAGAGAATTAATATGGTACACCTTAGGCTTTCGGTTGGAGGTGGGGAATGCTATGAGATAATTAACAGCTCCCAGGCGCTCCTGGACCGTGAATGGCCCTTCCCACGATGCTTCCATTTTATGGGCCTGGAGCGCCTTTAAGACCATGACCTGGTCTCCTACTTTGAAGGAACGCTCTCTGGCATGTTTATCATACCAGGCTTTTTGCTCTTTTTGAGCATCCTGTAAGTTTTCTCTAGCAAGGGCTAAAGAGGTTCGGAGGGTGTTTTGTAGGTTGGTTACAAAGTCCAGAGTGTTAGTTCCTGGAGAAGGTGTAAATCCCTCCCATTGCTGCTTCACCAACTGCAATGGCCCCTTAACCTCACGGCCATATACAAGTTCAAATGGGGAAAACCCTAAACTGGGATGTGGTACAGCTCTGTAGGCAAAGAGCAACTGCTGCAACACTAGGTCCCAATCATTGGAGTGCTCATTTACGAATTTACGTATCATGGCCCCCAAAGTTCCATTAAACTTCTCCACCATGCCATTTGTTTGATGGTGGTAAGGAGTGGCAACCAAGTGATTTACCCCATGAGCTTCCCAAAGGTTTTTCATAGTTCCTGCCAGGAAATTAGTCCCTGCATCTGTGAGGATGTCGGAGGGCCAACCTACCCTGTCAAAAATGTCTGCTAGTGCCTGGCACACACTTTTAGCCCTGGTGTTGCTTAGAGCTACTGCTTCCGGCCATCGGGTGGCAAAATCCATGAAAGTCAGTATGTACTGCTTTCCTCTGGGTGTCTTTTTTGGAAAAGGACCCAGAATATCCACAGCTACTCGCTGAAATGGAACTTCAGTGATGGGGAGTGGCTGGAGAGGGGCTTTGACCTGGTCTTGGGGTTTTCCCACTCTTTGGCACACCTCACAAGACTGGACATAGGTAGAAACATCCTTGCCCATTCCCTCCCAGTGGAATGACCCCCCCCAAACGGTCTTTGGTCCTGTTCACCCCAGCATGGCCACTAGGGTGATCATGGGCTAAGCTCAAGAGCTTGGCCCGGTATTTAGTTGGAACTACCAACTGTCTCTGAGGATGCCAGTCTTCCTGGTGTCCCCCAGAAAGAGTTTCCTTGTATAAAAGTCCTCTTTCTACAACAAACCTGGATCGATTAGAAGAGCTGAGAGGCGGTGGGTTGCTCCGTGCCGCCGTCCAAGCTCTCTGGAAGCTTTCATCTGCTTCCTGTTCGGTCTGGAACTGTTCCCTTGATGCTGGAGACATCAGTTCCTCATTGGATTGTGGACCTAGGCTTGGTCCCTCTGGAAGCGATATAGGGGATGGAGCTGTTTCTGTTGACTGTGAACCGCTCTCCGCTGGTGCACTATGTTGGGATTCAGGCTCCGGCTGAGCCTCTTGGGTCGGGTTATCGGCTGCTGCCAGTTCAGGGTCGGTGGGGCCCTCTGGTGTTGAGGTTGCAAGTATTGGATTCAGTGCTGACACTGGGTCTGGTGTTGGTTGTTCGGCTGGTTCCGGTTCTGGGACTGGTTCCGTCTGGGTCTCTGGAACTGGATCCACTACTGCTGTTGCAGACATTGGCCTGGGGTCTGGGTCCATCACCTCTGACCGGGTCCTGATAGAAGTTTCAGGAACAGAGTTAGGCCTCACGGCTTGCTTAGCCTGGCTGCGGGTGACCGTTCCCACCCTCTTGGCCTGCTTCACATGATTGGCCAAGTCTTCCCCCAACAGCATGGGGATGGGATAATCATCATAGACTGCAAAAGTCCACGTTCCTGACCAGCCCTTGTACTGGACAGGCAACTTGGCTGTAGGCAAACTGAAAGAGTTGGACTTGAAGGGTTGAATCGTCACTTGGATCTCTGGGTTGATTAAATTGGGGTCCACTAAGGAAGCATGGATAGCTGACACTTGTGCTCCGGTGTCCCTCCACGCGGTGACCTTCCTCCCGCCCACACTCACAGTTTCCCTCCGCTCCAAGGGTATCTGGGAGGTATCTGGGCCTGTGGACCTCTGGTGTGATTCCGGTGCAATGAACTGTAATCTGTTGGGGTTCTTGGGGCAGTTGGCCTTTACATGCCCCAGCTCGTTACATTTAAAACATCGTCTAGCTGACGGGTCACTGGGGCGAGGAGGGTTGCTGGAGAATGGGGTGGTGGGATGATAAGGGGTCTGGAGGGTTCTTTGGGAGGTAGGTGGGGCTTTGGGCGGCCCCCAGTAATAGGGTGTGGTCTGGGGTGGTCCCTTCTGGTCTCTGCTCCAACTGCGACCAGTTTTCTTCTTCTCTGCCACCTCCACCCATCTGGCTCCAATCTCTCCTGCCTCGATTACAGTTTTGGGTTTCCCATCTAGGATGTATCTTTCTATTTCCTCAGGAACACCCTCTAAGAATTGTTCCATTTGTATTAGGAAGGGCAAATTTTCTGGAGATTCAACACTTGCTCCTGATATCCAGGCATCCTAATGTTTCACAATGTGGTAGGCATGTCGGGTAAATGACATGTCTGGTTTCCACCTTAGGGCTCTGAACCTCCGACGAGACTGCTCGGGTGTTATCCCCATTCTGACTCTCACCTTGGATTTAAACAGTTCATACTTGTTCATGTGTTCTTTAGGCATTTCAGCTGCCACCTCAGCTAAGGGTCCACTGAGCTGTGGCCTCAGCTCTACCATGTATTGGTCAGTAGAGATGTTGTACCCAAGGCAGGCCCTTTCGAAGTTTTCTAAGAAGGCCTCAGTATCATCACCTGCCTTGTAGGTGGGGAACTTTCTGGGATGGGAAGTGGTACCTGGAGAAGGATTGCTAGGGTTTGTTGGTATATTCTGCCGGGCCTTTATCCTCTCCACCTCCTCCACATGCTTCCTCTCTTTTTCCTTCTCCTCCTCCACATGCTTCCTTGCCTCCATTTCCCTCTTGTGGGCAGCCTCCTGTACCTCCTTCTCCAGCCGCATGAGTTCTATCTGTCTTTCATGTTCCCTTTGTTTTTCCTCAGCCTGAAATTTGGCTAATTCCAGCTGTAGTCGAGCTGAGGATTTGGTCATTCTAACCTCTCTGTTTTTAACTAACTTTACACCCGAGGTTTAGAAATAAACAAACAAAACTTGGCTGTAAAATTTTGCTGTGCTGGAATAGAATATCTATTCTCTGATAGTGATTGTCAGCCTACAGAAAAAGACAATTCCCTTGTCTCTGCTCTGGGCCCAAATTAAAGCAAAAAACTTCCAACTACTTGGAAACCTGCTTATCCAGCCCAAAGAAAAAGCAAATGGGTAGAACACACACCCCCTATTTACTTTTAGGAAGAAAAGAAAAAAAAACTCTGGGTTGGAAGACTGTGAATTTCTCTGCAGGAGTTAAGTACCCTGCCTCCAGGCAAAGAAAACCTGCAATTCACAAAGATAATCCCCTTTTGTCTCTGCTTGGCCACAAAGCAGAGAAAAAACAAGCTGCTTTCAGTTTCAGCTGCTTTCTGGACTTCCTTTCCAAAGGAAAAAAAAAATTTCCTTTTTAAAATCTGTATTTCTAGTTCAAAAAATCTCAACTGGATCTCAAAATGATTTCAGGTTAATCCCACCACTATGCCACCATGTCAAGGTTCCTCCCCCACTCTGAACTCTAGGGTACAGATGTGGGGACCTGCATGAAAAACCTCCTAAGCTTATCTTTACCAGCTTAGGTCAAAACTTCCCCAAGGTACAAAATATTCCACCCGTTGACCTTGGACTGGCCGCTACCACCACCAAACTAATACTGGTTACTGGTAAAGAGCTGTTTGGACGCGTCCTTCCCCCCAAAATACTTCCCAAAACCTTGCACCCCACTTCCTGGACAAGGTTTGGTAAAAAGCCTCACCAATTTGCCTAGGTGACTACAGACCCAGACCCTTGGATCTTAAGAACAATGAACAATCCTCCCAACACTTGCACTCCCCCTTTCCTGGGAAATGTTGGATAAAAAGCCTCACCAATTTGCATAGGTGACCACCGACCCAAACCCTTGGATCTGAGAACAATGAAAAAGCATTCAGTTTTCTTACAAGAAGACTTTTAATAAAAATAGAAGTAAATAGAAATAAAGAAATCCCCCCTGTAAAATCAGGATGGTAGATATCTTACAGGGTAATTAGATTCAAAAACATAGAGAACCCCTCTAGGCAAAACCTTAAGTTACAAAAAAGATACACAGACAGAAATAGTTATTCTATTCAGCACAATTCTTTTCTCAGCCATTTAAAGAAATCATAATCTAACACATACCTAGCTAGATTACTTACTAAAAGTTCTAAGACTCCATTCCTGGTCTATCCCCGGTAAAGACCAGCATATAGACAGACACACAGACCCTTTGTTTCTCTCCCTCCTCCCAGCTTTTGAAAGTATCTTGTCTCCTCATTGGTCATTTTGGTCAGGTGCCAGCGAGGTTACCTTTAGCTTCTTAACCCTTTACAGGTGAGAGGAGCTTTCCCCTGGCCAGGAGGGATTTTAAAGGGGTTTACCCTTCCCTTTATATTTATGACAGAGCCCCTTTAAGTAGCGTCTGCCACATGGAAGCAGAGAGTGACATCATACCTGCTACACCATTGTGGGTGTGGAGGGGCAATTTTGTCTGAAGGAAAACCTTTATTCGTACCATGGAATCTTTAATGGCTACACAGGTAGGATTTGTGTTTTTAAGATCTCATCCTGAAGACCTTCACATAGTGAACTTTAAGAGGATGAATAGTTAAGTCAGAGCTATCAGTACTGGGACCTAGCTCCAGGGAGTCCACAAATTTCAAACTTGATGGTTTAACACTACACTATCCACTTGTTGTAATCCCACCCTCATTCTGCCTGCTGCTACCAGCTCTACCCATCCTGGTTTGGGCTTCTGCAGCTCCCCAGGAAGAAACACTTATTTTTCTTTTCAACTCCACTGTTTTATTTCCTCTGTTTTTCCATTATATTTTCAAGATGAGGGGGACAAATTCCACCCTCTTGACCAGCACACACATTCTCTAAACATGCACACGCATATATACAGTAATGGACAATCACACACGTCCAGATACATCAGCTGAGAAAAGAAGTGTTATTGTGATGCCTGCAGCCTGGCCTGGGATACAAGTCCAAGCAAGCCGATTGAAACATATTTCAAAGGTGATGACACTTGCTGACATGGCTCAGAGAGGGTGTGAGGGTTGCATATACTGAGAAACCTCTTCTAGGTACAAATGGCAACACCAGTCACTTTTCACTGGTTTTGAATGAACAATACCTTAGTGCTTTCATCTGGGAGGATGGGAGGCAGGACACATTAAGTAGAACATAAATCCATTTGTCTTTTATGACTTTAGTACGGGTAAAAGGTGACACATAGGATATTATTTATTTGTATAGCTGTAGTGCCTAGGAGCTCCAGTCATGGTTTAGGATCCCATTGTGGTAGGCTCTGTACAAACACAGAACAGAATGACCCTCTGCCTCATAGATCTCCATCCACAGAGCAGGTGCAGCAGAGCCAGGTTCCATCACTCTCAGCCTTGCCAGTGTGTCTAACCCCTGTCCTGGTGCAACTGCTTCAAAGATGAAAGGGAGTTCAGTCTCCACGGCCATTTCAGACTTTGGCCTCTTCAGTGATACTGTCGGGTCAGGGGCGGTGTTGGGTGTCAGATAATGTGCTGGTGGTTTTAGTGAGGGGGACACCTGTCCGTCAGGAATGGGATTGTGATACTCCCCCAAACCCATTTCATGTAGACTAATCAATAGCTAATGCAATCTGGAGGTAAATGGCTCCATAGCCCAACCACAACTAGTCCCCTGAGCCAGCTAGTCCTTTGAAAGTTTTAACAGAACCCTAAATGCCAGCTCCAAGCACTTATATGGCCTCATCACCATAGTATCTGAGTACTTCTGCTGTTATCCAGTCCTTTCAAACACTCCTTCTAAATGCTCTAAGGCAGTGGTTCTCAAACTTTTTATATTGGCAAACTCCTTCATACAGCAAGCCTCTGAGTGGGACCCCCCCTTATAAATTAAAAAACACAGGATTTTATATTTAACACTCTTTTAAATTCTGGAGCAGGGTTGGGGATGGAGCTGGGCTGGCAGGGCTCGGGCTGCCAACCCTGTGCATGGCTGACAGCTCGTGACCCCCTTGTAATAACCTTGCGACCCTCTGAGGGGGTCACGACCCCCAGTTTGAGAACCCCCACTCTAAGGAGAGAACCTGGCTCCTTAAAATAATTTTTTCATGGGATGATAGTTCACCAGTTCAAATTTAGCCTAGGCAATAGGCGAACCACGGCCATTGGGAGTTGTGGGTGGCTGTGCAAATGTAAACAAATGGTCTGGCGGCCTGCCAGCAGATTACCCTAACAGGCCACAGGTTGCCCACCACTGCCATAGTAAGTGAAACTCAATCATACATAGGCTGTTCACTAGCTTACATGAAATGTATAGGTTATTTCAGTCCAGTTTGCAGTAAACAAGTGTCCATTTCACAAAAAAATTAAAAGTGATTCTAACTGGCCACTTGTTGGCAGTCTCAGTAGAGTCCAAAGACTGAAGATGTCATGACAACTGACTTACTTGCAAGGATCAAGTGTAACAGTTGAACACAGTGGTGGAGTAGTATGAGGAAAGCTTGCACTATTACTTCCCATGCTGTAAGTGTTCTGTGGATATGGTACTTCAGTTGCTACTTCTCACCAGCACGAAAAAAACCACACACAAAAAATCCTATAGAAAAATAATCTTTAGCTGTTAGGTGTTTCATATACAGATTTGCCAGCCCAACACTAGTCCAAGTAGATATTCATCAAAGATGCTGTATAAACCATTTTAAAATGATCTTCTCCAGATTTAGGATTCACATTGTCTGCCATACAGCATATATATGTGTAGAGAGAAAATCATTTTTCCCTACTTTTAAAAACTTCATTTACTTACATTTGAAAACTGAAAATATTTCAAAGGAAGCTATTTAAAAAGGCAAAACTTATATATGTCCAAAACTGATAAACTGCATCAAAGTCCAAAATGGGGGAGCAAACAAAATTTGGAACTCTGCTGTAATGGTGAACAGTGGGCCCAGAAATGGTGGTGTTTGTCATGCCCAAGCTACTGTGCATCAGGTCTCCAGACATAGCCATGAAGTTGCTCAATATACCCCAAGAAAAGTCAGCCAGTACATCCTTTTTGAACCCTGCAGCAAAAAAAAAAAAAAAAGTCTTAATTCCAGTCTCTCCTTCCCATTGCTACAGAATGTTATGGGTAAGAGCAGTGGACATCTTTGATGTTATTAATATTCTGCTGCTCTATTGCAAGGGAGAGTCCTCCAGTAGCTGCACCTTAATTGGACGCTTTGGCTTCTCTTCACATTAAAGTCTCCTGTGTCCTGATTGGGTTCAGCATTTTGAGAGAGAAAGAATGATAGAAGACAGTAAGGAAAGTTATAAAAATAAACATATGTTACAATTTTATATTGATAGGAGTCGCTAGGAAAGTCTGGAATCTGAGTGTCTTTTTGGCCATCTTTTATAATTGGGTTATGGTTTTCCTGCTATAAATTTGAAAGACAGCTGCAGCCAGACCACTCCAGACTGATTTCCTCTGTTCTCACCAGCTAAGCTGGGTCAGACTTGGATTGAAGACAGGGAATCAATTTTTTTCAGTTTTTAAACTTTCCTATCCAAATTCATTCTGGATCTTTTCTCCCTACAACATGCCCTTTAAGACACAGATTTGAGCCCTCCAAACTCAGATAGTTCAGTAAGAAAGCAGGACAGGGGGAAATGCAGAGGGTCCCATGTTGCTGGGGTGACTTTTCATCAATGTAACTCTGTAATAGCTAGTGTGCAGGTGGCACCACTGCCCTCTTGGATGGAATGGGAGACCTGTTTAGGTGTGTGGGATTATGTTGGTCACCAGTGGTTAAAGGCCAGGTACGATGAGTGTAAACCCTAATATAGCTAGTGGAAATTCTCCTTTACCTCAAGTGGTAGAGGCCTGTGTTTTCTGATTTAGAAGGAACAAGTTTGTGTGGTTCAGTGGGTGACCACGAAATTGGTATGCTTGCACCACAATTAGGGCTGACAGTGCCAAGAAGAGATTTGAAAATGTCCCTTTTAATCAGACAGTTTAATCTAAATGGTCTCAGGGTGAAAAATGCTTTTTGCCACATGTACTTTCAAAATACTGGGCAGCTGAGCAAAGTGTCAAAGGTCAGCATTTCTTTCTCTTTTTCACCTACCATCCCTTTCACTGTCATGCCAGCCTGGGGAGCTGAGCCTTTTAATTGTCTGTATTAGATGCTCTGATATTGAAGTTGATTTGTACTGGGATTTAACAAGCACCAGAGGGAAATGGTAACACTGACACTCTGGCACAAGTGCCTTTTTATTTTTAAGGCAAAACGCTTGTGAGAACCTCTGGTATTTCATGAGTAATTACCATGGTGGCATCTCTCATCTCTGCTTCATACTTACTCTGTGCCCGGTTCTTGCATTGGCAGCACACTGTGATGCTCACTGGCAGTTCCTGTGTCTGCTGCTGGCTGCGACATCCCCATCTTCAGGGACTTTTCCTGGGTGTCTGATGTTTCCTGTGTGTCTTTGCCCTCACTGTTTTCTTCCTTTTTCACCTCTTTATTTTCTTTGTTCCTTTTTTCCTGTTCAGAGGCATTGCCACCCTCCCTTTCCCCCAGGGTGCTCCCTTCCTTATTCTCTGGGGTGTTCTGGCACAACTTCTTATCCTTATCTCCCATGGTACTTGGGCATGGCTTCTCCTCTGGCGTGCTCTGGGATGACTTCCTCTCTTCCTCCCCTGGAGGGCTCTGGCACGGCTTCTCCTTATCTCCTGTGCTGCTCTTGCGTGGTTTCACTGCTTCTATTTCTTTTTCTCTCTCCTCTTTGTTTTCTGTCCTGCTGGACCCTCTCCCTGAGGGTGGCTTTTCATTGGATCCTATCTGTTTCTGCATCAGTTTACTTCCTGTTTCACACACAAGTGACTGTGACTCCTCTTTCTGACTCTTAGGCACGAATACCTCATCACCATCCTCTTCTTTGACCCCATTTTCTTGAGATGATCCAGTCGCCCTTAAATCTTCACCATCTCCGGAGTCTGACTGGGACTTTCGGAATTTCCTGGAAGGGGGTCTGCGCTTCAGTGATCCCCGTGTCCGCACCTAAGAACAGGTAAAGCTGAGATGGAAGAATTTAAATAAACCACACCAGTGTACAGTGTCAGCCCAGAAACTTAGGGTGAATGACTTTGATGCTTAGCTGGTGACTCAAGACACCGGTTCTCCTTCTCATTGACACTTTGAATAAGTAGTGAGAGATCATTACCCCATTTAAACTGTGGCTCTCTCTCCAATTTACATTATCAAATCTGAAAACATTAAGTTTGACTACAAGGACACTAGACTTGATATATAGTTACTTATGAGTGAGGAATTACTTTGGAAACCTCTGCCATTTTATTTTGGGCACTGGGGTGATGAGAAAGGATAGAGAAGTTTTACTTCTCAGTAATCTGAGGACCAATGGTGAAATCAAGCAGTCCAGATTCTCTCCCCATTGTTGCCAATTCATCTGAGTCCTAATCTGCAGAAGCCCCTGCTATTCTGGTATGTCTTGGGCCTCCCAACTTCTCCCAGTTGAAGGCTGTTTTGGCAGCTAGCCTGCAAACTAAGAACTGCACCTAACTGCATAAACTGGAGAAGTTAACCAGCTGCCTTCTTCTTTAATCCAGAATTGTGGTTTACAGAGACTACAGTTCCCAGTAGTCAATACAGCCTGTCCTGCTCAGATCTAGGTTAAGTGTTGTATGATTGGCTCTCCATGGGCTATGCCTCTGTATTAAAGGGGTGGGCATGGAACACACTGCAGAATTTCAAGGTTTATTGGACTTGCAAGCTGCCATATTAATATACTAACGCACTGCACTACTAAGCGTTGGTCATTAATTTTGACATAATGTTGTTTGAAAAGCTGTGATCAGTCCAGCTCATGTTGAGTTGAAGCAGGTGAGTCATGCCACTTCATCACCTGAAGCCAGCTGGAATCTGGACTATGGAACTCTGTTTGCAGGCAGGCAAAAGAGGGAGTCCCATGGATCACAGTGAGAGGGAATTTCAAAACAGATGCAGCGATCTCCTCATTTGGCTGCAAACACACCCTGTGAAGACTGAATTGGAGGGTAAGACAACTGTTCCACTTCCACTCCAAGCAGTAAACTGGCTTTGGCTTCCTGTGTTGGAGAAGGCCTGGAAGACACTATACCTTGTTATAAAACTTCAGGTGAGTGCCCTCTGGTGGTTGATCAAAACTGACTGGTGTCTCATCCGATTCACTGGAATGGGACTGGATGCCGGGGCTACTGGGAGTTGAAGGGGGAGTGCTAAAGGGAGATGGTATGACTTTCAGACCTGGGCTTTTTGGAGATGTACCTGGCACCAGGGCAGCTGGAGCAAATGCCAGATTGGCCTACAAAAAAAAACAAACAAGAAGTCATTATAATAAACCTCCCCTCAGATTTAATATCATGATTTTTGGTGTTATTCTACCTGCCACCCAAATTCCCCCTGTCAGAGGTGAAGTGGACTGAAACAACATACTGTATGGTAATAACAGGTTTCAGAGTTGCAGTCGTGTTAGTCTGTATCCGCAAAAAGAACAGGAGCACTTGTGGCACTTTAGAGACTAACACCTTTATTTGAGCATAAGCTTTTGTGAGCTACAGCTCACTTCATCGGATGTAGCTCACGAAAGCTTATGCTCAAATAAATTTGTTAGTCTCTAAGGTGCGAAAAGTACTCCTTGTCTTTTTGTATGGTAATATGATCACACAGTGACCACGTGGGGGAGCCTTTCCCCTTAACAAACATGATAGCCTCCCAGCAGACATAAGAGATATAGCTCCTGGTTTTGTGTTTCTCCTGGTGATATTGTCAACAAACAATTCTATGTGGAGAATTTCTGGATGGACAATTGCCCTTCCCGAACAGCTGGATCTCAGGACCATTCCTGTGTCATCTGCAGTATTAGGGATTTTCCAGTGTCCCAGCCAAGTGAATATGTCTCTCATAGCTTTGCACAGGAGAGGCTGTGAACAGAGCAGTCAATAACAACAAGGAACTTTAAATCATTCTGTGTTTGCCAGATAGCACCTGAAGTTTGCAGCTGTGGGCACTGTGGGCACTCTCAGGCCCTTCAAATGATCACTAAATTTAACAAGAGAATACCATTGAAATAACTGGGTATGCTTTGTGATGGGGCTCCCACTTCTGGAATCCCATTGAACAGTGCTATTTAGTTCGGATAGTTGAGTGTTCTTGACTTGAGCACAACACTGCCATGAACAGGATGCTATTATTTGGGCAGTGCTAGGAGGAAGCTCACAATACCAGGCGTGCCAGCTGGCATTAGCAGGGCGTTATGTGAAGAGACTCACATATTGTTAGTTGTCCTAACTGGCATAAACCAGCTACTGAGAGATACAGGGGAGTAGTAAATGCTGGGTAAGCTGTTGTGTTCCTTGGGAAATATAAAAGAAACGTGAGAAGCTTTTAGGGTATGTCTACACTTCAACTGGGAGGGTGCTTCGGGCAGACAGACGTGCTAGCTCTGCTTGACCTACTGTACTAACAATAGCAGTGTGGTCACACTGGCATGGGTGGTGACTTGGGCTAGTTGCCCAATACAATCCCACCCAACCCCCTGGGTGCATACTTGGGTGGCTAGCTCAAGCAGCAGCCTGTGCCACTATGGCCACACTGCTATTTTTAGCTTTCTAGCTCAAACAGAGCTAGTACTTGTCTTTCTACTCATGCTGGGAAGTACCTTCCTAGCTGTTGTGTAGACGTATCCTCAGGGATACAAATATAGGAGCCATGTTAAAAGGCTAATCAATTTAATTCCCTGAGAGTTACAACAGCCATGTTGAAAGCATCCAGCACCTACCTGCAGTTTTTCAATCAGGGGAGAGCTTTTCACCTTGACCCTGGGAAGGGGACAAGCATTTGGAGACTGCTTCTGTAAACAAACAGGAAAAGACCAAAATAAACTAGACGAAGAAAAGAAAAGTTCTGACGCCTGAACCGGTCCAGATTGATCCTGAGAAGTGAGAGATGGAAGAAGAGGAAGGAAAGTGAAGAATCTGTCACTGAAGCCTATGGCGGGATCTTTACAAAGGAGTCTGTTCTTCCCTTTCCCACTATTCTCACCTCGTCTGCTGTCCAGCCATTAAGTCTATGATAAAGAGGAATTAGATCACACAGGACTGAGGAAGGGGAGAGCACTGTACAGAGTAATATCACTCTGCTGTGAGGAAGATCATCAAAAGAAGGTAGCCAAGCCCTCTACATGATCCTCCCTTTCTCCTCCCACCACCCAAACAGTGCCCTCTTTTGAGAGAAAATGGGATTCTGTCTCTTCTGACTAGTATATCCATATTAGGGATTGTGTAATGGTTAGTCCCTGAAGACTAGGGGTCAGTACCCCAGGGTTTTAGTCTTGGCTGTGCCACTGCATGGCTTTGGGCAAGATATTTAGCCTCTCTGTGGTGCGGTTTCCTCATCAGTAAAATGGAGATAAAACTGACGTACCTCATAGAGGGTTGCAAGGCTTTAATGTTTGTAAAGTGTTTTATGAACTATTCCTCTTGCATATCTGAAGAGAAATGTTTGGCACTGGATAAATTACACATTCATTCACCCTTTCAACTGTGAATCTAGAAGGAGGGAAGAATCCAAGAGCAAATTATTACTTAATATTTATGTTGCAGTAGTGCCTAAAGGCCACAACCAGGTTGGACTCCATTTTGCTGTATAAACAACATATGACAGTCCCTTCCCTAAAGAGCTTAAGATGTGAGGATGGAGCTGGTATGGGAAAATCAGGTGGATCCTGTGGAGATGTGGTGCCACAGAAGGAGAAACCTCACAAGCAGAACTGGAACATGTACGTGTGTCTGCACCAGTAAGGAGGCAGCAAGGAGCAGAGTATGTGTGGGGTATTTCTGTGGATGGATAGGGGAAGTGTTCTCTGCTTTAGAGCTTATCGTTTATGTTTCACTATCAGAGGATCCCTCTGGTAGGCCCACATTCACATGCCTTTTAGGGAATCAGACGGAATAAGACCCAGCAAAAAGGAAGCTCTTTCCTTATTGCATTGGTACTCACCGGCTCCCCACTGTGGCCCAGCTCCAACTTTTGGGTGTGTAGGGGAAGGGAGCATGGTGGTTTCCTCCGGGTTGGTTTATTAGCTGGTATCTGAAGATAAAGACAGCCATTTGAGTGACAAAGGAAGAGCAAGGAGGTTACATTCAAGCACCAGAAGGCAGCCTCCAGTGTTGTGTGTCTGCAGAAGGCCCAACAGAAAGCAGTGTGGGGGTGGAGATGTCTCCAAGAGCAGCCACATCCTTGGAGATGCTCTAACAAGTATTCCATTGGAAACCCCACAGTAGAAGGTCTTGTAAAGTTTGTTTTCTTTCCTGTCTCTGCTAATCACTAAGTTTTCATCTTTTGAACGGGCCTCAGCTTCCTGCTTCATTCATTCACTGAGCTCACTATCCTACGTGTGGTACCAGGGGCTGAAGGGCAGCTCAGAGTTCTGAACATGGCCCACAGCCTTGCTAATCTTTCAAATGAAGGTGCAGCTCACAGAGACTACAGGTCCCAAGTTGCGATGTTTAACAAGTGACTCAGAAAGCAGGTTTGTCCAGAGAGAAGGGACAGCACTTTTTTATTAACTGCACAAACACTCCTCTCAGTCTGAACCTACACAGGCTCCTGGGAGGATCTAGCTTACCCCTGGTATGAGGAGAGGCTTAGCACAGACATCAGCGCAGTCTCTCCAAAAATCCATCTCATTTGCACAGTCATGCCCCTGCAAGTAACCTGAAACTTATACCAGTGTGGAAAGCTCCAACTTGATTTGAATTGTGTATGTTTCTATGTTGGAGATGAGAGAAACTGAAATTTCCTCTATTTTATGCCAATTTCTATGACCTTCTGGCAAGTTACCAATATGCTCTGTGGTGCAATATTTGGTGACTTTTGTCATAATTTTTACCCCCTTAATGTCCAGAAATCTGGAAAGTTACAAACATCAGATTGTGGCAAACTCCATCTTTGAAGAGTTGGCCACTTTAGAGAGCTTGTCTGGAGTGACAAACTTGGGCACCATGGCTTTATGAGGTTTATACTGTTAACTGGTGATGTTGTGTCAGCAGATAGCAATGCAGTATCATTGTGTGAAGCAATGTAATCAAGCTGTGACCATGTCATCCCATCAACATAATATCATCCTGACACATCACAATCTTGGTATGCAGTATCATCCTATGCTGTGGAAACGTCATCGTATCACAACATTATGATACCACATTGTGAGGCAGTGATATTTTGTGGGCATCCATTAATGTCCTGTATGCTAAGTTTGCAGGACATAGCTCACCATGCTGATATCAGGATGACCACAAAGATAGTGAGGTCGGGCAACCATGATTATTACGTCACTCACCAGGATTGTGATATGCTGAAATGATTTTTGTTTTTGACATGTGTGTTTGTGATGGTAGTAGGGGACTCGCTCGGTCACTGAAAGCGGATCAGCGGCCATGAGTCCTTTGACTTTCCCTGCCTCCTCAGAGGATTAAAGCCATTTGGGGCCTAGACTCATCACAGTCTTGGGTACCTTTACTGCTTAAGTTCTTTCGGTCACCCCTACCCTGGTTTCCTAGACTTCTCTTTCGGTCCCCCTTACCAAGAGAGGTTTTTCCTTCCTGCTTCCCAACAGACTCAGTTTCTCACTGACTCATTGCTGCATCTAGGCCTCAGCAAAGCAGGCCTGGATTACAAGGATTCAGTTATTCTACCTTAATCCGCCCTTATACCTTGTAGAAGAGGAAGGAAAGACAAGGCTGCTCTGACTGGGATGCTTTCGGGTGATAAACGACAGCATATTGGGGCTAGTAAAATGTCCAGTGTCCTCAATTACATTGAGTCAATCCAGCTGCTAGCAGAACATGAGTCCTGTCTAATGTAATATTCCAACAACCTGCACCAGTTTTCCTGCTGTGCCAATCTATGCTGTCTAACCCATCAATAAACCATTGCTTGAACTCTAATGGGTCCTATTTATTACTCCTGAGTTCAGTCATACTGTAGCCCCCGTACATGAAATTAAAACTGCATAATCTTTGAGATAGTTTTTTGTTTGGCTGCAGACAGTTGATCTAGCTATCTTCATTTGTTTAAATCCCACTGAACGCCAACTTCTTGCTTTTAGGGGAGGAGGGGAATCCTGATAGCAGTATGTGCTGGTCCTCACTGGAAACATTTGTGAGATGCATGCCTTGCATATAATAGTTTTGTTTGTTTTTAATCTAACAGTTACTGAGTTAATTGGGTCTCAGTGTGTATACACACGGACTAAACTGCAGTTTGTGTGTCTGCTGTGCTGTGACTGGATAGTATTGCTTAGGATCAAATAAAGAGGGACAAAACTTTGTTCACTATTTCTGAGCCCTGGACAGCTGATTCAGAGCTTTACAGAAGATTGCTAAGGAACCTATCACCGTTATTTGTTATTATTATTATTATTGATGGAGAGCTGCTAGTGAGATGCATGCTGGCTTCTAAGCTGCTTAGTTTGTTGTTCAGCCTCACTATTTAGAATCTCATTTCTGTTTCATAAATATCAAAACATTTGAGTAAGAAAAGCTAGTTGGGTGCTTTCTAATTAATCAGTAGCCAAAAAGGCCCAGTGCTGAGCTATACATGTGCACCTTGCTTTGATGCCAGCTACCACTGGGGAACTCATGGATGTCTTAGCAGGCTTTTCAGTGTCCCTAAAGCACAAACATCCTGCCACTGGCTAACAAACTTCTTTTAGTAGCAGCTGGAATAGGTATGCAAGAATGTCTACATGTAAATTTAGAATGTATAGCGTATACTGTGCATGAGATTGTTGTGTGTTCTACTACAGTTTGCGAAGCACAATGGGATCATTCAAGATAAAAGTTGCTATCCAAAACTCAAGCCATTATTTTAATGCTTGGATCACCCAGTCTCCCCACCTTCATTGGCCAGGGATGAGTCTCCCATTTCTCCATTTTTGTTATCTGTGCCTGAATTGCTCCTTACCTCCTTTCCAGAAATGGTGGCTGCTTGCTCCTTGAACTTTCCTGCCAGCTGAGCCACAGATAGGGATGCTGACTTCTCCACCTCTGGATTGGTCTCTGCTGGTCTGCCCTGACAAATCAGAAACAAGATAGTATGTGCCCAGGTCTCACAGATATGGAAAGTTGGAAGGTTGAAAAGTAGACAGGTTATTTATTACTGAGTGCAAGAGTAACTGAGGGCTCAGAGCATTGCTGCCAGATGTGAGTACCTTGTCTAGGAAGAAACCATCCCTGAAAATAGGACCTGTTAATATCTTAAAGTATACAAGGTTATTAGTAAGGCCTGAATGGCTCAGGGACTTGATAGTGTAGCAGGGAACTTTTCATCTCTAACAGAAGATGCTGTCTCCAGTTCTCCACTTCAGTGGAAAGAAATTAAATGAGATATTTCTACCCACATCGTCCCGGTCACCATCTGTCTCCAGCAGCAAGTAGAACTGGGCAGCACGTCTTTTTTGTGGTGTGGCGGTGATGGAAGGCCTCTCACAACCAGATTTCCCCCTTTCCAATGACTCTTCTGCAAGGAGACTGGGCTTTGAGAAGCCTTCCCTCACAAAGCCTGTGTTCTGCTTGGGGAATGTGTAAGGGTGACTGGGGTGTTACTCTCTGCCCTTTCCCAGTATCTCACCTCTGCAAAGAGATATCAGGCTGTAGGAGCTTAGGTAAATATGCTCCCCCCCATACCCATTCTGTACTTTGCTGGGAACTGGGGAATTGGATCATGTGATTCTGCCCATCCCTAGGCAGTGTTCCCTCTGCCACAGCCCAATGGCCCATGTCACCTCATATATTGTTGTTTTGTCATTTTTATCATGTGACACTGGTGAAAAGCCTTATAATAAGGTGTCCATGGAAACCAAACTTGCTAAGCTCCATTGGTTAGCATCCATAAAAAAAAAACAAACTGGGGAAATTGCGAATACCGCATTGACTGGCTTGTCTTGAGCCTTTTCTTCAGAACCTCATAAAATCCAGACAACAGGGAGTTTTCCCAGTTGCAGCCCACTCATTAGAGAACCTCATACTTCTGCATCCCCGCAGCACCAGTGTTAGTGTTTGACCTGTACCACTTCCTTCTCCACACTTCTATTGATTAGTCTGAAAAGTCCCACCAGAAGCTGGTTTTAGGCCAACACACATTTTCCACAACAGCAGGAACCCCCAAGATTCTTCCCTTTTCGCTTGACTCCGTTTGGAAGGAATTGTGGGTTAAGACAGTGGAACTGCGCCTTTGGCTTAGCTGGTAGGCAGAGGGCGCTCTCAGTATGCCAAGGCAGCCCAAAGATGGGACTTTGGCCGTTGTAATACAGTGGGGCATGCTGAAAGAAATAGCAGTGGAAACTTAAAAGGTCCTAGACAAAGAGTGAATCGATGGGGTTATACTGAGAATTAGCCTGAGTCTCACTTCAGTTTCGGATCAAGTTCTTGGCTAAAACTTTGAGATGCAGCACAGTGTGGTTAAGGACCACCTTACTCTTTCCTCATCAGTACAATGGAGATAAAACTGACCCACCTCACAGAGGGTTGCAAGGCTTTAACATTTGTAAAGTGATTTATGAACTATTTTAGGGCATGCAGTGCATTCTTCTGACTGTAAGTCTAAGGAGCAACCACTCTTCTATACATTATTTTTTTCCTGACATGGCATGGCTGTTCTCACTTGTACACTCTGATTCATCTGAGCAGGACAGTATGCTCCTTCTCCAGCCCTCAGCCCCAGATTTCACCTGGGAGGATATGGCAGCTTCTTTTGGCTTGTTGGCACTATATGCCTGAAAACTTGTCTCCCTTTCTCCCTCAGATTTCGTCAAAGCCCCAAGTGCACAGCAAAAGCTGGATGTCCCCAAGCAGTTTCCCTTTAGCTGATAAAACACATTGTAAATAGAATACATGCTTGTGTGAGTAAGTTTGTCCTTCAGTCCACAGGAAGCAGTGAACATGCCATTCTAATATTAGAACAAGTAGTCCACGGGCTGTGGCCCACAGAACTGCCAGCTGCAGGCTCTCTGATTACACCTCCGATTTCACAACAGGAAAATCCATTTTTCAGATCCTCTCTGGCCATTACACTGCAGTGTTTCATCTGGCTCTTTCTATTGCAGAAGGCTCCTCTCTCACTGCTGAGGGTGCAGTGGGATTCTCCTTGTCCTACTCTAGCGAGTGTACGAGGGCACTCTCTCCAATTAAAAGGATGTACACCAAGGTTCCCTCCCCACAACTAGAGGGACAGCACTAGACCCCTCTCTCCCCACTCCTCCAGGGGCATGTACCTCACCCTCACAGTAGGTGTGTAGAGCCCTTGCTCTCACTCTCTCATGGTCCAAAAAATATACTAGACAAGTGTTTGGCCAATTCCAGGGTATTCTTTTCACTTTGGGGGGATATGCCAAGGCTCTCCGAGACTGTGCTTGGGAAACAGGACACTAAGACCAGCTATCACCTTGATAAAATTGAATAGGTTTGCTGTTGTTAGAAAGATAGATCTACTCAGGCCAGTAAGTTGTGCTGTTTGTAGTCAACTTTAGTTGAGTAGCATCACTGAGGGAGGGATTGGGTTTTTTCCTGCCAGAGCAGTCATGAGTGCCCCATTGTAATTATAATCAATTCCATGCTTTGGTGAGGGCCTCGGGCAGTGGTATACCTCAATCCCTCTTAATCGTTTAGTCTCCTTTGGGCTGCAATACTTTGGTCTTATTTTGGTTGCTGGATTTAGTTTGCAGGTGCTGGCCTGTGATACACAGGAGATCAGACCAAATGATCTGGTGGTCCCTTCCAGCCTTAAACCCTATGACTCTATTATAGGTGAATTAATAAGATGCTAGGTTAGGAAGTCCTAACCCACCAATAGTCAGTAAGATGGTGATTGCTGGTCTCAGAAGTCTTTTAGTTTCCCACAAAAATCAACATCCAAGGGGATCCTGTGTTATTTCGAGTAATGTCAGTCAGACTCTCTGTTGGAGAACAGTGAAGAGGGACTCAAACTGCAGCATCAAGTTTGGAATATTTCTGCCTTCAAAAGGGGAGTGTAGTTTACCGATATTTATAAAAGTTTCACATTTTCCTTTTTCAGTTAGTGGGTTTGAAATGGACATTAGCATGTTTTCCAACCCAATTCTTATTATTCACTTTCTTTTAAAGTCAACTTTGTGCTGATCAGGCAGCCCTGGAGAGCGAAGCCTCCTATTTATTCACAGAACAAGTACTGCAGCAACTCAAGTTTCCCAACACTTCCCTGACAATGTCCTCCTTCCCTGTTCTAGAGGGACCCCCTATTGAGCTAAAGGGGAATTTACTTTCCCATCCAATTCTTTGCCTCTGCTGACACTGCCCCACCCAGGGCCAATCAGATTTGCTTTAATGTGGATACATGTTGACTTTGCCCTGGACAGGACTGAGAGCACATAGGCCATCTGTGACAGGGTGCACAGATTTTTAGTGCCCTCTGGAGAGAATCCCTCCCCCTGCCACAGGTATGGTTCACCCTATCCCATTCATGACCCTTGTGGGAGGCCCTGCCAAGACAGACAGTTGTGTGGGAAATAAGGGCCTTTCTGAGCTGAGGTAATCAGATGCAACTGAGCCTAGTTAGAGCCTGGGAGCTGGTGTACACTAGAAAGTTAGGTTGACCCAACTACGTCGCTCAGAGATGTAGTTAAGCCGACCCAGGGTAGATAATTCTTCTGTCGAGCTAGTGCTCTTTGACCTAGTTACTGCCTCTGAGAGGTGGATTTACTACAGCTGTGACACTGTAAAGTTCCTAATGTAGGCATAGCCTATGCCTTAGACTTGGCTTATTTCAAAAGAGAGAAGTTCTACTGAAGCACCCAGGACAGGGAGATTTAGAGACAGAAGAGCTTCCCTGTGTCTATTGTTTGTGCATTTACAAAAAGTTCTGTTTTGGGGGGGGGATCCTGGATTTAATTCACATAAAATGAATGTAGCCAGAGACTAAATGATATGGGCAGATCTGATCATCTTTTCATTTCACAAGAATCCTGTGAAATTAAACCTGAAACCCCTGAGGTTTTTTGTGTGCTTAACATAGGCCTTCTCTGAAGCTCCACTCTAGCCAACGCTGGCTTTGCCACTCTACCCCAAAGCCTCTGGATGGTCATAGTACAGATTCTTGTTAGATTTGAACCTCATGGTCCCTGTGTGCGAAAGGTATCCCAGTAGGAATCCTTGACCAGGCATTTCCCAGTTTTGTTCATCTTTATGCCTACTTAGATCATGCCTTTAATGAGCCATGTTAGGATGGCAATGGGGGCAGAAGTAGGGTTGCCAGTTTTCGTTGGACATATTCCAGGAGGTTTCATCACAGGACAAAATCTTAAATTAAAGATTAATCCGTAATTCCTGGAGACTCCAGGACAATCCTGGAGGGTTGGCAACCGTAGACAGAAGTGGATAATCAGAAATGACCTTGTTCTTGGACCAGTTTACTTTATAGCCTGTCAAGAAAGACCAAGTTTTATTTAGGTCATCAAGAATCTAGTTCAATGGTCTGGTTTAAGTAGCTTTTAAATACCAGCTGGATAACAACAGTAACTTTTAATCCTCTTCACCCCCCATTTAATATTCTGACTTCTTGGTGGTTCTTCTCATGTTTCTTTCCCCACCACACATGTAACTTCAAAAGGTCAAAGAGGCACAGAACAAATGTAGCAAAAATAACCAGATCTACCCTGTTAATTCTTAGAGATAGAGAAACTAAGGCAGAGAAATCTCAGTAATCAGTAACTTATCTATGTGACTATGGATAATCTTTGGTAGATAAAGGAATAGGACCCAAGAATCTTGATCTTCAGATTTCTGCTCTAACCTGCTATACAGTTTAGACAGAAGTCCTAAAGCCAGAAGTGGACAGTGGACAGCTTTGCCTGGTACAGAATGTGCTAGATGTGGACTAGGTGAGATCAGCACTTTGGCATACTACTCTAGCTGAAGGGCTGGCATAGCAGAGACCGCTTTTGTTTTTTGAATGGCTATTGCTGAAGATGTAGGCTCTCTGAATTCCCATTCCCATTCCACCCTTGAAAATGCTTTCCCCCAGTTTGATACCTGGGTAAG